ACCAATGTAATTGCTTCCGCAGGTACATTCGAATTGATATATGCATTTAGACTTGTCAAGGATCGGAGCCTTGTCGTTTCATGATTTTTGAAGTATTCTTTTGGTGGTACTGAGGAAAAAGAGTTTAGCAGCTTAATAAGTCCTTCCGACGAACTTCTCCAGTCTTCATCTAACTACGTTCAACATATCATCACCTTTGAATGGAAAATGATACAGACCGGTTTCTTCTGTACTGTTAGGAACGTTGTTCTGCTCCCTACCCATTTTGCGTGCTTGTTTTACAGTTGTATCTCGAAATAAATGTTTTCAACCTCAAGTAATATAAAAATTCAAAACTTTAATTGTTTTAGTGATAGGAACTCTCTTTAGAAGTCAGTTTATGCTAAAACTTGATAAGTTTTACTCTTTATAACAATTTGAAACATTGTGAAGTTTTTTTTTCCAACTCCTGATTTATGATTAAATCTGAACTTCATCCAAAATATTTCATGAAACATTGTAGAACTGTGTGAGTAGAATATTTATATACGATTGTACAGCTTGAGAATGATATTGGTGAAAAGAGTGACTCTTTACTAAACTTCTTTTAATTTTTATGAAACCAATGAAATAACAGTCTGTTTTACTTTACTAAGCACATCTTCCTATCCTACTTTACTACCGAATCCATGAATTTTCTTCTCATTTCATAAATTATCTGGAACATAAATAGGTTTAAATTCGTCACTGTTTTAGTTTATCAACCCATCATCACTGTATGAGAATTTTGTTATTAAATGTAGAATCTGTGTCCATGAGAGTAGAGTCAAATACGAAGACCTAAGGAAAAATATGTCATCCCTGAAATTTCCTTTATCTCAAGAAGATAAAAGATGTGAATGCTAACGAGGAATGTAACATAGGTCGAGTGATTCTGCCCGGTATTATCATTATTATTATTTGTCCCTTGGGTTCCTAATTGAACATAGGGCTTCAGTAGCACGTCTCCATTCCACTCTGTCCTCTGAAATCTTTTGAACCTGGCTCCACAACAGCCCACAACCTCTCATTTCTTCCTCTAACCATCTCCTTCATGTCACCCTCAGCTGAGACGCCCAGCTCATCGCTTCCCATCTGGGTTCCACTCGAGGGCCTGGACTGGTGCGTAATGTCCTCAGTCGGCTTTCTCAGTGTATGCCAGATCCATCTCCACTTCCTTCTACTGCATATTTGTTGGGCGACAGCTTCTTGGTTGGTTCGTTGCCAGCCAGCCAGAGTTCCTTGTTGCTTATTCTTTGTGGCAATCCATCTGAGCTTCAGTAACGAGCCAGCATATACATTTGTTGATGAATGTCTGTAGTTTGTTGAAAGTGCTTTTCGTAACGCGCCAAGTCTCTGAACCATACAGGAGCACTGACTTGACTGGATTGGTGTTGAAAATCTGAATCTTGTTCTTTGTGCTGAGTGGAGGAGATCTTCACACTGGCTTCAAGCTAATTAACGCCTGTCTTGCTATCTTTCCGATCCTGGCTGGATTTGATGTCCTTGTCTGTGCTGTTTGTAATTGAAACAGTGCTGCCTAGATAAGTTAAAGAGGCTATTTCCATTAAGTTTCTCCGCTGATGGTGATTGGAACTTGTTGTTATTGTTGGTGTTTTCGGTTGGGTATCTTCATTACCTCTGTCTTCTCTACGTTCACTTGAAGTCCTGTTTTCTCTGCGCTGCCTCTGTTCTGTTCTGTTCATAGACAGTTTTTATTTAGCTCTTTTCACTTCACTTGTGTAATTTCAATGTTGTCTTTGCTCCAAGTTAGTTTTCTATCTAAATGATTACTGTATATTTCATATCATAGTGGCCAACATAATATCACGCATGAAATCAGATACTCTGCGGTTGTATTGGTGAGAATACTACTGACATATCCTAAAGAAACCCTCTTCATATCTGATATTCTACTCAGTGGAGTGAATGTGCACCTAGCTGACAAGTCTCAAATAGGAAAAAACGAGCTTCCTTGATTCCTCTACTAGTCACCAAAGTCAGTGTGAGTACATGAGTCTGTTTCACCCGGTCATCAAGTTTATCACACTTGAAATTCTATTGTATTCTCTCTCCTATTGTATAAAATAATATTAATAATCTCAAAAAAGTTGATGTTGAATTGGAATACCGACTTCGAGATTATTAGTTTCAGTTTATTTAAATAGGAAATGAATAGTCTGTGTAGATGGAAACTTTGGGAAGATCAAATTGACACTTAAGAACAGCATTCGCTTTTCAGATGTATTGGGACTGCTAATTGCATGGATAAAGTTAAATGAACCAAGTGAAGCGTATCTAGTAATCCGGTTTCTCACTGACCGAAGAATTTTTGTCAGCCACTTGGCAATCACATGATATGAATGATTCCCCGTATCACTTGGTTCATTTGACTTTATCGACGCAATAAGTAGCCTCAGTATTTGTGAAAAACAAGTTCTGTTTTTGGGTATCACTTCATTCTAACTAAATTTTTCACTTACAAAGACTTCTTTTCCTATGTAACTATATCGACAGCTGGTGCTATACAGTTGTAGCCAAGGTGAAAGCCTACAGAAAAACAATGTGCATCAAGCTTTAAAAGCAATTGGAACTCATTTGACAAACTATGTATAAGCTAAGCTAGTAGGCCTATGGAAGTGGGTGTGATATTTTTAGTAAAAACTGCTGATACTGATAACTAGTCCTAACAGTAGGATAGACTGGGATGCAAAAAGGCGATTAACCAACGCATAACTATCTACTGACAAATGGAATTATGGTGTCATCATAACACAGAGACTTTTCTACAAGTTACATTTAGGCATTGCTTAAACATAAGTGATGTTACCACCACATCTGATTTGAATTTACTAGGTAAGATTGTAAATTAACTTTATTCAACTCCATTCTGGTTACATCAGTATGTGGAGGGGGGTTGAGACCAAGTCAAACTACGTTTTACTCCCTCACAGTTTGACCTGGTGTCAACTCGCCTGCAATTATACACGATAAGACCTATCAAAACACCTGCGCATACAAATCTCAATCTGTAATTCATACACTTTTCACACACAATACACTACGGATAGATAGCTATTGTCTTTATTCTACAATTTGACAAAGCAGAATCACTCATGCAGGAGAACACTTGTCAACTTATGATTTATACGGTTGGATATTGTAAATTTCAGTTTAGTATAACTCTGATAAAGCTATTGGCATCAAACAGTGAGACATCAGTTGAAACAAATTTATTTTGTGTTGCATTCATTGGGAAATAAAAATAATAAAATACTTTCAAGTCTGTTTATAAGCAGTGTTACTCAATATCTAAAACACCTTCGTTTGTAGAAATCCTGCTGTGGAACAGACACTAAAGCTTTCTAGAAGTAGTATTCATCGTGGATGGACATCAGTTGAGGAACCATTGGAAGTCTGGTAACACTGGACAGCTGCTTCATCCTAGTATGGCACACCTCAGCAGTAGGCCCCCACAACCCGGTTACGGATCGAACTCACCACCTTCAGGTTTCACGGTGAACACATTAATCACTCAACCACTGGGTCGGTTTCCAGTGGTTCACAATTTCCAACTTCTGTCAATTCACGACATAGTGCGACTGTCACCCAAGGTCTTCAGTTAGTATCCACTTCACTTCCAACTGGTTTGCTTGACCCCATAGGTCACGGCTTCTCATTAGAGCTTCCTAATATCGATCCGTGAAACGTGAAGGTGGTGAGTTCAATCCGTAACCGGGTAGTTGTTGCCTACTGCTGAGGAGTCCTATGCTAGGACGAAGCAGCTGTCCAGTGCTACCAGATTTTCAATGGTTCCCCAACTGATGTCAGTGCATGATGAATACTACTTCTAAATTGAAAATCCCCATTCATCTCAAAAATACATTACAAAAGCTTTCTGTTCATAGACAGTTTTTATTTAGCTCTTTTCACTTCACTTGTGTAATTTCAATGTTGTCTTTGCTCCAAGTTAGTTTTCTATCTAAATGATTACTGTATATTTCATATCATAGTGGCCAACATAATATCACGCATGAAATCAGATACTCTGCGGTTGTATTGGTGAGAATACTACTGACATATCCTAAAGAAACCCTCTTCATATCTGATATTCTACTTCAAACCAATAGTATAAGCGAGACACATTAGCACCATCGGAGATAAAAAGAGCAGGATAGTTGTCCACTATCAACCGGTCTACAAAGTATGTAGTTTTGCATATTGTACTATCAGTGCAGAAGATTTGGAAGATCATTTTACTTTGGCAATTCTTATATCATAAGAGTCAAACAAAACTATGCTTAGATAAAGAAGGAGCGATTTTTACTGATATTCAAGAAAAACAGAATGTCTTTTTGAAATTCAGTTAACTATGCCATATATAATGAGATTATTCTCTCCTATTTATATGAAGGAGATTTTTCCCCTAAGATGATTGTGCGTTCTTCAAATTGTTCCGCAATCTGAGCTACTACTAGTTTTTGGCCTGAAGAAAAAAAGCTCGACATCTTCGCACTAATCTTTATGCGTAATTTGAAACCAAGAAACTCCTTTTTCGCATCAATCATATGCTAACCTATTTGATAAAAGTAATTATCTTACATACTAGGTTATGCCACATCGGCTGAATCCAATAAGATCATGTGTGCTAATGAAATTTCTACTGATGAATCGCTTGGTTTCCAAATCCATCTGAACCAAGATGGCTTAGAATAGCAGCGAAATCAAATAGATCAGAATCCAGTACATTTTTGAACTGTACTTAACCTGTTTAAGAAATGTCGATATGAAATGTCAAAAAAGTTGCACCTTCCTGAAGAGCAAACATTATTGTGCATAGTCATACCGATAGTCATAAAGATACTTATGTTTCCTTCTCAACTTACTGATAAATACCATTTACTCAATGCCAAAATGTTTTCAAACTATCAAATCCCTACTTGATTTGAATATCTATAAATTTATTTTACTCCATTTCCTAGAACATTATATGTTGTTTTGGTCAAATTAAATCTAAAACTACAAATCGTAAAATCTTTGCAAAACAATTGCTTTGATTGGCTTTTACCGAATTCCAAATTCAAGGTTATCCAACGCATAATTCTTCTTCTTTTTCTTCTCAATGTTTCATGTAAGTGCTTATGCACGTAGTTATTCTGACGTTTAAAATATATTAAATAAACTACACTCCACAAAACAGATTTATTCTCCAGATTAGTACTTGTTCGAGATCACTAGTGAAATAAACTCACAAGAGTAAATTCACTGAGAATGACAATGAAATACCAATCTTTGCGTATTTTAGGGAAAAATAAAACTTACAGTAGATTAATGAACATTGTATTATGCTGTAATACAAAGTTGCTGACAACCAGAATACTCTGTATCCTGATATCGACAGTAGTAATCGCATTATTATCATCAATTTTAATGATAAATGTGAATTTTCTTCTTCATAAGAGTAATTTTCACTTCATGTTAAGAGGATATGATGATGAGAATCAACTGATATGTGAATATTTATTTCAAAAAAGTTTGAGTTGGATAGAATATATTTCAGTGAGAAATATTCAATTGACAAATGGTGATGGTGTTGTGAATTTCACAGATCCTCGTTCATGTCATCAGTTCAAATTGTTTCAACGTCAAGCAGTACATGTATCCTCAGAGGAAGAACACTTCCCTCTAGCATTTAGTTTGACTGTACATGAAAACATTCGACCAGTATCTCGCCTTCTTCGCTTGATATATAGGCCACACAATTTGTATTGCATCCACGTGGATTCAAAATCTCCACAAGCATTTTACAATGGTGTATTGCAACTGGCCAAGTGTTTTGGTTCGAACGTTATGGTGGTGAATCGATCAGAAAGTGTTAATGTTCAGTGGGGTCATTATTCTCTACTTGAAGCGTTCCTCCTCTGTGCTGAGAAGTTAATTAGGAATAGACAGGTGATTTGGAAATATATTCTGAATGTGAGTGGTCAGGAACTGCCATTACGAACTAACTGGGAGTTGGTAGCAGCATTGAAAGCGATGAATGGATCAAATGTGGTTGAGAACTTAGGCTCAAAATATAATCCGGAAAGATGGCCCAAGAGGAATTTTTCATTTCCTGTGAGTGATTTTGTTCTTTCGGTTTGAAGGTCAGTTGTTTACCGTTGTTTGCTTCAAATAGTATGGACGTGTAGCAACTGTACTGTTGTAAATTATTTCAAAAACTTTTCACATATGTAACTCTGACCGAAAGGTCTTTGAATTATTTGGTGTAAGGTTAATTTCGGTGAGTTGACCATCACAATGTAAATGATGTAACTTATTAAATGATACCCATGTGGTACTCTTTTCAGGGTTGACTTAGATTCATTCAACAGCAGCTTCGAAACAATAGTCCTCTTTTCAAAGTACTTGGATAGGGAGTGATTAAGTCTAGTTGTTTTTAAGATATCCTTCTACATGACTCATTGTCTTTCATACTCATCTCAAAAACATCAATTTAACATCCTGATATATTGCTGCTTAAGTTCAATAGTATCAGATGAGTATAATGTGGTCCACATAGAACTCTAAGCTTTTATGCTTCAGACATTTTGGAATAACAGCTGAGTGGTAATCAGAACTCAATTTTTTGTTGTTGTCTGGTTTTTATCCTTAAACGGTGTGGATAGAGACTTTTGAGACCATTTCTTGAATGGTGACGCAATGTAAGTCCTTAAGTAGTATAAATGTCTTCCCAATGTGTTGTAGTGCATCACGCCAAAAATAGTCACGTAGAGTCATATATATGATTATTTTGCAGTTGTGTATTTTGATCCCATACGGCAGTTTACTTCACTTGTATTGTAGCAGTTTGACTTGACTTCAATATGTGTGTTAAATAAGATTTTTATAATGAGCATGTTTTAGAGAATTACTCCTCTGTAGTGTATGACTCATTTTAATTTGCTATAATATATATATCTAGGTCGATGAGCACCAAAAGTTCCATTGTTCTAAATTGTGCTCACGAAATTCGAGAAGGTAGTTAGTTCAGTTAAGTTGATGATATGTTGATACAGTAAATACAACTTCCACAGAAATGAATTATTTTGAGCACATATTTTACTTTCATGTGATAGGTTTCATGATACCTTAAAATAAAAGTTCCATGTCTGGCTGTTATGTATAAATACGGTTTGGATAAACTTGCCAGTCTAGAGCTGTTTGCAATAGGATATTCAGATGAAGACAATATATATTGTTTTCTAACAGAAAAAAGAGTCAGGAAGCAGATTGTATTTCAATCCCATTTCAGTCTGTTTATGAGAAATATAGCACAGTGAAACAGCATCATTTACTGCATAACGTTTCAAACACAATTATTGTCCATATTCATATCAGGTAACTCCTCAACTTTGAGATAGAGTTGATACAGTCCTAATTTTCTCCCCCCCCCTCTCTCTCTCTCGCTTAGTGATGATAAGAGCAGTGGAATTTTCCATATATCTGGGACAGGCGTAGAATCATTTCTATTGCATGTGTTAAGTATTCATTCAATAAACAAATATCCGGTCATCAATCTCTCACCGAACCCCCCCCATCACCATCTAACTAAAGTAGTTTGTAACACTACCGCTCTATGCCACCCTATTGTGTGATTGTATGTAGTTGCGTGCTGAGCTATAGCCTAAAGTGTTTCGAAAATTTCTTATCAGCATCTACTAATCTTCATTCAGCTAAGTTTTTGTGTTCTGTTATTCTAATAGATACTAGTCGACTACTTTGACCAATGTATCTGACCTCGTAATCATTGCATGGGATTTGGCAAGCCAAATTATTCTGCCTAATTGCATCAATAGGATCTTTGAACCTACAAAGCTTGATTTTATTTGTGGAAGTGGGTTAGTAGATTTAAATGCCATTTTAATCCCAGTCTTATTGAGGATTCCTCGCAATGCTTCTGAGATGCCTTCCTAGTACAGTAACACAGCAGAGGCTTTGAATTCTCTCTCAACCCTATCTCCAAAATTACCACCATTATAACTATAATTAGTAGGATCATTAGTAATAACGCCTATTACTAATAGTTTTCTCTCGACTTTTTATGAAGTCATTTATAATTTCTGGTGGGTAATTATGGATACACAAGGTATTCCTAATGTTTTATCTCTTGTCGTTCGTTTTCTGGCATACTAGTGAGCTTTTCTGCTCTACTACTTAACACTTAACTAGGCCAACTTTAACTGAAATGTGGTGAGATGATTTGAAGCCTAAGTAGTATTCGAATGTGAAGGTTTCCTATTGACGCTAGTCTCTAAACTTCCATCTTCTTTTCTTTCAGTCATGTAGTACGTTATGGTTAATTCACCTTTATGACTTTCCAAGTCATAGTTAAATTGGATTGCATTCACTACTGAATTTATGTGTACCAAGAACTTATTGATGTTTTCCGATTTCAGTACTGTAAATGTATCTGCATATGGGAACTATGTCTCTAGCATAAGACCTAATGTTTTCACAGCCACGCGTTTCCAGCTATCCATAAATAAGTCTACAAGGACTGGGAACATTGGTGTTCCCATGGTAACCTCTTCTCTTTGTCGATATAATTTTTACTTTGGAACTAGGAAACTGTAGTTGTCAGTCTTCGGTCGTCACTACAGTTCGATGCGTAAGTTCACTGTCATTTTTAGGTCCATTTTTAACTGCCTCTAGAGACATGTCGATCGGTATATTTGTGTAAAGGCTAGTTATGTCAAAAGTAACCATTTTTTCACTGTCGTCTAATCTATGCCTTAAGTCATAAGAGTTGGTAAGTTGAGATTTTGAGTGATTTGTAATTAGGTCTAGTACCATCGCTAAATATTTAGACTATTTGTAAATCGGAGTGTTTCTAATATCTACTATAGGCTTGATCGCATAATATGACTTATGGATATTAATGGTTCCATACATTCCGCTCGGTTTATCAGTTTTCTGCATTAAATCAAACCATTTCATACGTCATATCGGATCCCCTAAGGATTTCTTAATTTCATTCATAATATTATCCACTAATTTCTTAATTTCCTCATATGGTTCAATTTCTTTACGATCATCCACTGTATAGATGTAGTCAGATTTCTCCATCACACCAGTAGAGTTGCCTGTATCTGGTTCAGCGATTACTATATTGTTACATTTTTAAGGTGCCTAAGAGATTATGTTTCTGGTTTGGGTAGATTAGGTTTCAGTGTTAGAGCTCACTATGTTCTTACTTCGCCTGCAATTGTCTTATCTATTCAACTTAACCTTATTTCTGTTTTGGAACGGCATCTTCTGGTTTCAATTCAGTAACAGGTACATTGCAGTGAAGGTCTTTCTCCGGCACTTTTAATTCTGTTTAGCTTAGGACTCTAGGTAAGAGACTGACAGCCCACTTTGACTTATCCATCATTTGGGATGTGCTATTATTAATTTCATCATTGCTGACTACATACTTTTCTTCCATAAGTTTGTTGAGCTTCTTAATTTGAGTATTTTTGGACTTCATGAGCGTAGCTGATCATGCTTCATTACAATTAAACGTAAGAATACAGTAGGGTAGGATGGAGCAAAAGCGTTGAAAACTATCTTAGTTGGGTGGAGGGAAAGACTGATAATCAAATCTTTATTTATCGAATCAACATCAAATACACGCGGTAGAAATGGTTCTGCACCTGTTCCAGATGTATGGAAAATTCTATTACTCTTGTCATGGGGAAGAAGAGAGTATCGGAACTGTGTAAACTCTGTCAGGAAGTTGTGGAGTTACCTGATATGAATATAGAGAGTAGATTGTGTCCGAGATGTTATCCAGTAAATAATACTGTCTCACTGTGTAACATTTCTAACGAACAGGTTAAAATGAAATTACGGGATACTTCAGTGCCCATGTCATATTCCTTTATTTATATTTCACTTTATTTTATGACGTTTCGCATTTGTGAATAGTAAATATGTTGAGATGTATAGAAGCATAATGAAGCGTTCTGAATTGCGTTGCTTGCTTGTTTAGTCGCATTTTAGGTCTAGGTTGGGAGCAATTACACAAGTTGAAGTGTCTTGTAGTTGCTAAACGAAATCATCTTTCAGAATCAGTGATCACAGCTCAGGACCTAGACGGTTCAGAAATCAAGACCATCTGAAGTTGCTGAATTCACCATTACAATTTTCAAGTATATGTGGTGACAGGAGGAAAACTTGATGACTGAAGCAAAATAGGAAGTTGATGAGAAAATAAATCTGATATGTAGTCAAGTACAATGCCAGATCGATCATACCTAAGGATCTATGTTCAGATGTGTCTATCATAAACTTTGCAATTTCTTTAAGCAAGTTGGCACTTTGGAATTTTAAAATCTACAAAATACATGGTATTATGCAGGGGATATTTCAGAAATAAGACTTACTCACCAAGTTCAGTGAAGCACAACAATTCCTCTGTAAACATGTCTATGCATGTAGAAAGCACTATTCAATCCGATGATCACGCCTAGTTGGTACAAGGAAATGTTTCTTAGTTTCATCGATAAATGTTAGTTATCTGTCAGTTTTGATGGGGCATGGACTTGTAATTCAACTACATATTATAGTCTCTGGGGGCGTATTTGACAGTTTATGTGGTAAAAAACATGTATTGAATACAAAAAGTAAAACGTTTTTCCCACAATCTAATCTTCAGTATTTCTTTGAATTACACTTTATGGTCTCTGGATATCATACCGCGTTGTTGACATGGAGTTTTCAAATATTGATAGCAACAGTGTAATAATGTGTATTTGAAATGTTTGAAGGTTTCTGATGACATTAGGATTAAATCTCGAGTCCAGCTGATAAGGCTTTCAAATCGCATTTTTACTTCAAGTTCACTAGTTTTAGATAAAGCACAACAAAACTTTAGACATAAGCAAGGACAAGATATGCATCTGAATGTTTGACAGGGTTAAACTGGAGTAGTTAAACATTTATCCATCAGGTGCATCTAAGAAATATTCATATGATCCAGCAGTTTAGAAAATTTTTATCTTCATATCTCTTCTTTATCACCTCTTAACCATAAAATTCAAATGAATCACGTTCTTCATTTATTAGTTCAAAAGTAAAATGATCTCATTGTGAAATATTTCTTTCAAGTTCAGGAAGGCATACAAGCATACCATCAATTAGATTTAAAGCATGTCTCTTCAAAATTCCATCATTAGGATGAACGCAAGGCTTCCTGTTCAGTAAGTCGATTATAGGATACGCTTGCACAAACTTGACAGAATAATGAACTTTCTATATCCACGTTTCTCTTTGTTATTGAATAAAGTCTCATTCAAAATTAGATCTTATACCATAATCCTTGTTCGAGGTGATTACATTGATCTGTTTTCAAATCATCAACTTGCATCATCAATTTTCTGTTTCATACTAATCTGATAAAAAAAAGTTAGTTCATTATATTGGAATCCCGCTGCATAGGTTTAATAGTAATAACTGAGTAGAATATGGTTAGTTTGTCACTCCATGTTAGTAATAGTTAGAAAACAGTATGTTATATCTCTACTTAATAATAATTTTCCAAAAGAAGTGACGTTTTCGCATCATCTCTGACACTGACTTTGTACACAATTGATGTCGCATATACTTGCCATATCTCATTCATACGAATCATCCATTCAATTGTTCCAGCAGTTTTGCCTTCTAATCTTGTACAACAGGACACAAAGTCTGATGCGTAATGTTTTCGTATATTTACTATTTATACGTAAAACTGAATTTTTCATGCACTTTGCCCAATCACTCATGAAAATGAAATATAACTGATATCGTCCACAGATGATACATGTTAGTCGATTTCACTTAACATGTCCTTCCGAACTAAATGACGGGTCAATATAAATGTCTTAATTAGAGTTATGCAGCGATACTATGAAATAATTCTTAATAAGAATGTCTTTTGAGAAAAATAGAACAATACGGCTTGTCATGTTGATCTGATGTTCACATTTTCTTTTTTTTTTGGATAATGTAGCATAATGGATTTATATTGTGTACTAAACACTTAGAAAGTCATTGTTTAGTTAAGGAACGCCCAGTGATGACAGATATGGAAATTCACAGACAGAACTTCAAAGACAAAACGATCAATAAATTCTTTGACAAAGAAATCAAACGAAGGAATCACGCATAAAAACCAAGCATAGAATTTGTCTAAAATGCAGTACCGTAATATAAAAAAAATACTAACTAATAAACTGAGAAATTAAAGTCTCGAAGTGTTTTTGGGTTTATCACTGGGAAAACACTTCACAGGAAGTGTGTCAACAGCATAAAGCTGTATCCGAAGCAAACCACAGTAGGAAAAATTGCGAAAATGCTTGATTAAATTTTGAGGGAGTTGTGGAGATTTGGAATTATTTCAAGTTGTTATTCATCGTAGACTGACATCAGTTGGAGGAACAAAGGAAACCTTGGAGCACTGGACAGCAAGCTGTCTCGTCCTAGTATGGGACTCCTCAGCAGTACACACCCACGACCCGTGGGATTGCGCTATATATCGTGAGCTAACAGAAGTTGGAAATATGGTGCATTGGATTCTGACCCAGTGGCTCAATGGTAACGCGCTGGCTGCGGAACCTGAAGGTCGCGGGTTCTATCCCTGCTGGTGGGGTCGTGGGTGCGCACTGCTGAGGAGTCCCATACCAAGACGAAACAGCTGTCCAGTGCTCCCAGGTTTCCTTTGTTCCTCTAACTGATGTCAGTCTACGATGAATAACAACTTGAAAGAAAATGCTTGAATTCCCCGGGCAAAATAAAAGGCACAGTATAAAAAATATTTCAGGGAAGATTGAAAGTAGGGGATACACTTGCCAGGCATACAACGCAATCGTGGATTGGTCGAATACCAATAATCTTGGATGTTGAAATGATGAATAAAATACGATTCTAAAGGAGGAAACTGCTAAACAGATTCGCGAAAATTGGTAATACTACTTGATAATATTAAGTAGCATAAAATAAGTGCACTAACATAACAGAAGGTTAACACCAAGATAGAAAATTTATATAGCGTAATGAAATAACTGACAATAAGTGGAATGTACCACTTATTATAGCTTCACATCAACATTACATTGATTATCTGCCTGAACTCTGTCAAAGTAAACAGGGTCCTGGAATAAGGTAACGAACAGGATGCAACCTGACAGGATGTTGAAATGTTCTTGCATTTTGACAAACGTTTCCATTGCTGTAAATTCAAGTACTTCATATAATTTCACTATAAGGACAGATGTTATCACTATGAAATAATATTGTACCTTCTCATCATTTGAAGGAAAATAATCATTAGAAATGCCTCCAATGTACTTTCACTTTTTCAGTTATTTTCAGTGTATGTAGTTGTCAGAGTTTTGTAATGCCTAGAAACGAAAGACGTTACATGCCGAAACACAATTATTCGGAGGCAGGTTTCGGAAATCACTCTCTTCGAGTCAAGTCCCTCTTAGCCATTTCTGTACACAGGTTTCTGCATCATAGTAAGATTTGTTTAACAGAATGGTATAAATCTGTGGTTTCTGCAAGACAACGATGAAATTTTATTAGCCTAAGAATTATATACTACAAGTTTTGAGATTCACTTATGTAATATTCGATAGTATGAATGGTCATTATAGGTTGCTGCTCACCTTTTTCCAACGGAGTTCGCGGAAATGAAAGCATGTTGGAAAAAAGACATAACACTTATTCAGTTCGCATGTCATGGGAGTTTTAACTGTTGGGATTATAAAGCAATATATCTAAGCAATAAGCAATTACCTGTTGTTTCATATTTTAAATGACTGAAGAACTTGGTCAAAGTATAAACGTTCTATGTTCCCTTTTCTACGGCTGATGTGATATAAAAATAACAGGCAACAAAATATTTGAGAAAACATCCGGTTATGTTCAGTGTTTAGTTGTTTGATCAATTTCTATTTCAATAAAAGATGTATGTAGGTACATTAGGTGGTCAACAGATTTCAATCAAAATAACCGCAAACTTGTATTAGTTTAGAGCTGTTCAAAGTCCATAGATTAGTAAACGTGAGAGTTGTGTCTGAGGATTTATACCAATTAACTGCTAACAGCTCAGACCAAATTATATGCATATTAGTATTATTATATTATTTATTATTTGTCCCTTGGGTTCGTAGTGGAACATAGAGTTTCAGTTGCACGTCTCTATTGCACTCTGTTCTCTGCAATCTTTTGAACCTGGCTTCAAGACACCCTACAAGCTCTCATTTTTTTCTCATATGATCTCCTCCATGTCATCCTAGGTTCAGACGCCCAACTCGTCGTTTCGTCTTTGGGTTCCACTCGAGTGCCTGGTGCGTGATGTCGCCAAATGGTTTTCTCAGTGTATGCCCAATCCATCTCCATTTCCTTCCACTGCATATTTGTTGGGTGATAGGTTCTTGGTTGGTTCGTCACCAGCCAGAGTTCCTTGTTGCTTATTCTTACTATTCTGGTCATCTGATTTTCAGTAACGAGCCAGCGTAGGCAGTTGTTGATGAATATCTGTGGTTTGTGCATATAATTATGTCCTAATCATTTCTTCTTATCAGTAAACAAGATCTATTATGCTTCTCTTATGTATCTGGTGATTTTTAGATATATTGGAGCAAGGGTAGCTTCTATGTGGCATTGAGCCGGGATTTTGTCAATTTCTATCAGACTGATCCAAAGGCTGGTGAAATACTGGATGCAATGAAATCAGAAAAACATTTAATGAAACATCCGGACGAGTTATTCTTTTCGACATTGGTTTCAAACCCATCTCTTGGAGCTCCTGGTGCTTGTGATAAAATTTATCTTACTAGTAATTCAGATGCACGAGCAATGTATATAGGACGTTACGTGACATGGGCTTATGAAGGTTGTAGACGTGGAAAAAGTCGTCATGGCGTTTGTCTTATTGGTACATACTATCTCCCATTTATACCATCACGCATGGAATTTTTCGCCAACAAATTTTCTGAGGACTTTCAACCTATTGCCTATGATTGCACTGAATATTATATCATGAAAAAGGTTTTAAGAGAAATGAGATCGAATCAGTTGGATGCAAGTTTTAACGTTACATTTTACTCACAGCTATACTGTTCACAATATCATGTAAATTGATGAGAAAGGAACCTAATTGTCTTTGTGACTGTCTATGGGGATATGTGCAGTAGTTCATCTTTTGCGCAGGATATGCTTTGTTTCTGTATTTTTCTAGCTTATGTTTAGTAGAATTTGAAAATGTATTACATTCTGATTTCTGTGATTTTTCTTACTAATTCAAGGCTTGAAGCCTTCAAAATCTTGTTATATGTGTAATATTAGCCACTGAAACAGACTTGATAAATCTAAATGTAATGTTTAATGTATACTTATTGCATTTATTACCATATTGCAGTATGTACACAGCAGATTATTGTTTGTAATGTTTACTTTTAGAATAGCAATATACTAATTCGCTCGAACTTCTCACCGATAACTGAAGCTGCATAAGTTATCTAGGATTGTTCATTGTCTGACAGATTGCATAACATGTGAAATTTGAATCCAATTTGACTACTATTTGCCATGTTAACACTTTGTAGAGTATTATATGGACAGAAATATTCTTCTGGATAGGATCTAACAATCCCCATGTATGAGTGTACAATTACTTTATGTAACTTCTCTTTCGTTATGAAAATAATTTTAGCTGATGACTTTATGATTCTCTACATATAAATGGCAGTTGCATGCTACTCTGTGTCATTTAAAAAAACCGGAATAAAAACTTATGAGTTTGAGCAGAATTTTCTTGTCATATAGCAGAGATCTGTAGTAATTACGGTTGTGAAGCAAAACCATCTTCCTTAACGAGTTTCACATAAGTAAGTGAGTATCCAAGATTCATTCCGTTATATTTAGGACAATTAGTTGGATTTACGTAGAAAGAAGTAAGGTTTCCTTAGAATGGTGGTAAAAATAAGTATTCTGAAGATAAGTGTAGGAGACTCACTACACTGTTTTGATGGGATCATAATCTGGTTACCAGTGTCATATAATAACTTTGCCATGATACGAAAGTATCTTTGACCTTTTTTTCCCTCTTATCACTAGTCCGGCAGATATTGATTTGGTCTTGAATAGGAGTGATATTCAGGCGGAGTAGGTGACAGATATATCTTGTGTGTATGGGATATCAAGACTGCATTAACTCTCCACTCTGATCGTGATCTGTTTTGAAACTGTTATCCCGAATAAAACGAGCATTATCATATTTCATTATTGATTTCAACTAACCAAAGTTATTTCAACAACCTTATAGAGTCCATTTGTTTTACGTATTATTTAGTCCGTAAGCTAGTGATCTATATGGACCTTCTTGAATTCTGAATTTATACTGAGTTAGTTCTACTTTATTACTTGAGACCATCGAGTTGCAGTATGTTATGCTCCAAGATCTAATAATCATTACAAGTTCGGCTGTAAACAACTTATGTCATGGAATTATTTTATTTTATTCTGCTAACCAAGTCTTCCTTATATGATTCAAATAAATTCGTCCCAGAATCATGTGGTATTTACAACAACTCAACAGTAATGACCTAGCTACTGTATTCCGTATTCAAGATGAAATGATGAGCTTCTGAAAAAGAGCTCATAGACAATAATATGGATCCAAAACGAACCAAGGGTTTCAGAAGATCGAAAGTTTGATAGTGCTGTACAGTCAACTGGGAAAGGACACCATTTCCTTCAAATTAAACAATATCTCCATTTTCTAAAAACCTATTTCTTGAGTTGGATCCGGATCCGGAAAAAGCCTGATCTCAGTTGCGTTCTTTAGCATAATCCACTTTCAGACAGTCTCAGTCACTTCAGTCAATTGAATTTGTTTGTATCATGACCAACAGAAACATCAAGAGGGAGACTTGACTAGCTTCCCTAGGCATAAACACTTGTGATCCAACTGCTTTCATATGTTTCTGAATAAATCTTTGACTTTTCTTGCACTTCTCACCAGTGGCTACATGTAAAATCATATCATGATGATACGCTGAATATGCCAACGAAGTCAGATATGATTATGCATTATTTTCGAAATGTATTGAGAGTGTCACCAGATCAACGGGCATTATCCAGAAGTTATATAGATCAGTATCTTGCATAATTTAATCTAACAACTGCGTGAATTTAGAGCAGTTAGTTAAGGAATCTTACTGTGAAGGTTTTCCTTCTCTGCATTTGTGTGATGTGTAGTATGTTGTATTGAAAATATTTCACTGAAATCCCCTCACACTCAATGTTTGTGGTAGACAGTTATCGAAAACTAATTTCTTTCATGATAGATTGTCTGTCACAACTTGTTAAAGCCAACCTTCAGTTTAGTTTCGTTTATACAGTTTGTATGCGTGACCAGTGATGCCCACATGAAGGTTAACACAGCCTCCACTGAGATGTATTTTACGTGAATAACGCCGTTGACTCATGTTTTATGAGGAGCTGTAAGTAACCAAAGTTTGTTTGCGTGACATTATTCGACAAATTCTTGCCACGCACAGGTGGAAATCTAACAAGATGTCTACTGAATAAATGACGTTTTTCTTGGATAACATACCACAATCATAATTAATTATGGTTATTCAAAAGCTACACGTAGGGTATTGGCTGTTACACAATCGAACGTGGTTGAAACCAAGCCTGTCGGTTCAAAATACTTTCTCACACCAGTGTGCTCTTCATTTAGCCGTCAATATAAATATTATTACTAGGGGTTCACCCAAGACACTTCGGAGGTTTTCTAGGCATCTCTTTTAAAGTTATAATTGACATTTATGTAAACTTGAACGTGGCTGAAATGATATTTTAAATTTCTTAAACTCATGTCTTCATAAGTTGTTCCGGATATATTGATCAATATTCACTACTGCACTAGTCAGAATAGCCAGGTTTATGTGTTTAGTATTTTCAAATGAAGGCTGATTAGCTCCCTTTGGATGTTCATATGTGATTCAGGTACTTTCAAGTAATAGATATCGAATGTTTTTATGGAACGGGAAACTGATTACTTTCCCTGAAAGAATCAGCCAATATTTCTGGCTAATGAAGTTTCTACTACTAGCGTGAGCTTATCAAGCACCTATAACAAGACCCTACGATGCACCATTTATACAAGACACCTAAGTTCGAATTTCCTTAGTCTTATCAATAAAGTAATCACAGTGGTTCAAAAGACGTGTCTAGTACTCGCTTTCAAAGAGTTACACAGCCTTAGGGATTCTGTTTTGGAAAAAATAAAATTTTCTACAATAGTTAGACATAAATTTGTTGGAAAACTGTGAGTCTTGATAAGATGTGCCAATATTTCTTGTTTGCACTATTATTAAATTCCCAGCGTCTATATGAAGGTTGCAGTAATGAAGCGTGGAAATCCGTAGATTGCCTGAATTGCTGAAGCGATTATTTCTCTGACACAATGCAAGTAATACATACTTTATCACAAAGTTGATGAAAGACCGGATACACGGTTCATATCAGTCAATGATTGTTCTTGTAAAATTCGCAAGTCATAACTTTATTTAAGGTTTTTTGTGTTTCACAACCAAGTTACATAAACTTCCCTCATAGAAATTCGGGTTCCTAATTGTTTTTTACAAATGCATATACTTGGTCATTATCAAAATCCATGTGAAATCGAATACTTTTCTAAAACAAAATTATGAGTGAATGAAATAAAGTGTCTATACGCTTAATCTATCGTTTACGGTGCTTCAAGAAATGAAGAGGGTGGAGGTGGACAACATGTCAGCAGACAATTTTCGTGCTTCACTTGACAACCTCCGTAGTAATCGTCAGACAGATAGAATCAAGTTCCTACAATTCACAGTAATATAAAAAGAACAGGTGGATAGAAAAACAGTGATGTAACAGTGGGCAAAGTTGTGTGGCAAGATAATCAGTTTGAAGATAAAGCTTAGTGCAAGTGTTCACGTTTTGGAAGCCGTCAAAGAGTGAATGCAGCAGTTCCATTGTGACTAATTTTCAGCTGTATCAAAATAAATTCTCAACTACTGATTTAGGTCTTCCTGAAAACCCCAACTGGGTATCCTACATCTCCCAATATGGCTCAGATCAGCAGTCAGGGACTTCATCGCCTGGTGCCCTATCTTGGTCAGGACACACTGAACCCTCTTCCCTAGCACGGTCCATCGGGATCGGGGTGCCTTGGCATGAAGGACACACGTCCGAGCCACCTCAGCTGACGAAGGTTCACAGCCTAATCAATCAACTTGAGAGTCTTGTCAATTACTCCTGATTTGACTGCAACATTGCTCACACGGTGATCACACCGGGCGGAGAAACGCTATGTTGATACGTATTAACACTGCCACTGAGAACGAAGAGTTAAACAAGTGTTATGATATTATTAAACAGAATTCCCGAGGAAAAATTTGATCAGCACTTGGAACTATATTACATAGCACTAGCTACTTCCCAATCACTAGTCTATGCCAGATCATTATTTCTTATTTACTACCTCATATACTAAATTAAACAGATAATTTACTTGATGGTGATTAGCAGTTGAATCCATGACACACATTTCCTCTTCTTTGTGAATCATCAGGTGTATACACCTAAACTCCTGTTGGTGACGTTTTCCAATTACTACCCATAAACGGATTTCACTTAGGAACAGAAACAAAATCATCAACTTCAATCGGTATTGCACAAGATAATTCCAACTCAAAGATAAACATTTCAGTGAGGCATACATTCCATGAATACATTAAATGTTGTTAACAGTAACTAAAATATCTCGCCTAGTTTACTAGTTCACTAGTTGCTAGCCGGTCATCAATGAAATCGGGGAGACGAAAATGACGCCGGTTGGTGAAAGCCTTCACGAAGCCGATTGGTCAGTGTGTCTTCTCTTCTCTTCTCTCGATGAAAACAAAAGTAACCATATGGACATGGGATGTCTGCATTATGTATGAACTTAGCAAGAATGCCCACAGTACAATGGAGACGATAAGATATAGCATAGAATGGCTAAGGTAGGAATCAGCAGATGGAATGGAAATGGACTCTCAAAACTGTCAACTGCGGAGTCAATTATCTACCCTGGTTCTGTCAACCAGACAACAACCATAAAAGCACAGCACACTGCCATCATGATGTCCCCAACAGCATCAAAGGCTCTCTTCCATGCAGTGGGAACCAGGCTCCTCCTCATCCAGTATCACGATCATGACAGCAAAATTCAACTCGAAATGAAGGAGAGTCACAATCATACAACGCTACACTGTACACCTACAAATAATGCAGATGAAGAGGAGGAGAAGGAGGAGGAGGAGGAATTCTTCAGACAACTGCAATCAGTAATGGACAAGACCGTGACCCAGATGGTGACATCAAAATTCATTTTGATGGATGAGGTGATATGAGTGCCTACTGTGAGTGGACAACACAGGAAGAGAACAAACACATCATGGGTCGAGAGGCACTCGGTGAAATGAGGAATGAGAATGGAGAGCTGTCTACAGACTTCTACTTCTTTAGTGACTTGGTGATTGTAAGCAGTGTATGCAAACACGTGGATATTCATAAAGTGACATGGATTCGATTTCACTAGACATCAGAACACACCGAAATCAGATCGACTTCATCTCAATGTGAAGTGAGAGGATATGGAGACTCAGCCTACTGGACACTACATGAAGAGGAGGAGCAGATCTAGGTTCACACCATTCACACCACTATCTAGTGCAAGGAACCTGGCTTCAAAATCAAGTTGAGAGCCTT